AAAATGCTTGTTGAATGATTAATAAAAGTCTTAATATGGAAACCTGAGGTTAATCTTTTGTAGCGCCAATTTATTTAACTTCTTAGGAGCAAATTTCAGTGAAAATAGTTACATACTTTCCTCTTACCTTTTCTGAAAATTTGATTGTTCCCTTGAAGACTACATAATGTGTACAACCTAATACTGCTATGCTTTTGCTTTATTCCAGAATGTTTACTAAGACTTCTAGCACTTTGTTCTCACTCATATCTGGGGACCTTGGGAGTTGGCAATAGCAACAATAATACTGAAATCTTGGAATTATAGAACATTTTTATTCTAAAAGTCTCAAAGTCCCTTCATAAACTATTCATATCCCTTCAAAATTCTAATTTTATCTTCACATTTCTTTGAGTTAGATCAGATATTAACTTCATTTGAGGGTTAGGGAGAGTGATTTGTACTCCTGCCTCCATCACGAAGTATGTGGCAGAGGAAGGACTAGAACATTGAGTCTAGAGTTAATGTCTTATTCTTTTTTCGCTCTTTAAGCTCAAGTTTACACTGAGATAAAGTTCCCAAATCACAGATTTCTAGGACTGTTCTCATCAATGGATTCTGAACCAGGCTCTACTGCCTACTCTTATTCAACTTAGATGTTCTACTGAAATGAATGAGTTGTTCACATTTGTACATTGTCTAAATCAGTGGTGTCAAACAGGAGGCCCCAATAGGCCCTAGTGGCTAGAATCAGATTAAGAAGTAATTGGGAAATAGTTAACAAAATAAATGAAAATAACAAAACATAAATAATATTACTTTGTAGTTTTCAAAGTCAACAGGTGGCCCACAATGATCTTTATATATGGTTTGGTGGCTCCCTTTTCTATCTGACTTTGTCACCATGCTGTAAAAGATTCAGGGTCTGTGGCAGAATGATCAAGGGCCATCTGAATTCTCAAACTATTTTCTTCAGCTCTAGACTGCATTGGCTTAAGCCTTAACAAGACTTATTTGTATTTACCTAAATTGAATGGAATCTGTATTCTGGAGCAACTATTTACCCTGTAAGATAAGGTTTTCATGCAAAGGTCCTTTGCCTACCAACAAGAATTATTGATTTCATTTAATATGAAATCCAAGCACACCCAACATTCTGGGAATTTTGCTACATGAAAATGGAAACCCAACATTTGAAATTGTAGGAATTTTGTGGAAAAGTAACTGTACTGCTTTACTCTTTTTTTTGTAGCTAGATAAATTTGCATGCTAACGTAAGCCCATCAATACAGCCTTGAGTTCTAAGTATGTCCTAGGATGATTTTTATTTTTCAGTCAATCAACAAACAAATACACCGTAGGCCTTAAATAGTTGTTGAATTGAATATCTGAGTGCTTCCTATGTGCAAGGCATAATTTTAGCTTTCTTTCTCATCTTTGTTGTTTTGGAATTCATAATCCAGAATACTTTTACTTAAGATTGCATAAAAGCTATATGGCTTCAGTATCTGATACATTGTCTCCAAGTGACACACATAACAAGGAGAAATAACACCACTCTTAATTCAAGTACTTTAGAAAATGAAGTAAAATTCTTCCCCAATAATCTACATTGGAGCAATATGATTCATATAGTTTCCCACACTTATCAATGAAAGTGTCTATTTGTAGAAAGGAGAGGGTCAAACTTAAACAATCAGTACTTAAAGCTGAATTATAGGACATGGCATAATCTGAAATGCTAAGAAATTTCTATTTCTATTCTTTAATACATTTCTGAAACCCTCACAAAACAATTCAATATGTCAAAGAATAAATGTTAAGAGGTCAGCTGAAATGTCTAGAATTTTATTCTGAATTATTTTAGTCATCGTTAGCTCAAAATACATGTAGTTGGAATACAATAATGAGCAGCTAGAGACTGGATATTATCTGTTCCAAAAGTAAAAAGAAACAAGGTATAAGCAATAGATATAATGGTTTTTCTATGCTACTAAGATTTCTTTGCTGGTCAAAGGACATGAATAGCAGCTTTCAGAAAAAATCAAAGCTATCTATAATAATATAAAAAATACTCTAAATCACTACTGATCAGAGACATGCAAGTTAAAACAACTCTGAGGCACCACCTCACATCTATCAGATTGGCTAAAACGACAGAAAAGGAAAATGACAAATGCTGGAGAGGATGTGGGAAAATTGGGACAATAATGCACTGTTGGTGGAATTATGAACTGATCCAACCATTCTGGAGAGCAATTTGGAACTATGCCCAAAGGGCTATAAAACTGTGCATATATCCTTTGACCCAGCAATACCACTATGAGGCCTGTATCCCAAAGAGATAAAAAACAAAAAGAAAAGGACCTGGGTATACAAAAATATTTATAGCAGCTCTTCTTGTGGTGGATAAGAATTAGAAATTGAAGGGATACCCATCAATTGGGAATGGCTGAACAAGAAGATGTGGTACATGATTGTGATGGAATACTGTTGTGCTATAAGAAATGATGAGTAAGCAGATTTCAGAAAAACCTGGAAAGACATGAATTTATGCCAAGTGAAATGAGCAGAACCAGGAGAACTTCATACACGGTGTCAATAGTATTGTACGATGATCAGCTGTGAATGACAGCTATTCTCAGCAATACAATGATCCAAGACAATTCTAAAGGACACATGATGAAAAATGCCATCTATAGAGAAAGAACTGATGGAATCTGAATACAGTTCAAAGCATACTTTTTTAAAAAAAAACTTTCTTTACTTTTTTTTTTGGGGGGGGTAGAGGGGAAGAGACCTGTTTTCTTTCTCTCTCTCTCTCCTTTTTTTTGTTTTTGTTTTGGCAAGGCAATTGGGGTTAAGTGACTTGCCCTGGGTTACACAGCTACTAAATGTTAAGTATCTGAGGCCAGATTTGAACTCAGGTCCTCCTGACTTCAGGGCCAGTACTTTATCTACTATACCACCTAGCTGCCCCCGTTTTCTTTTACAAAATGGCTAATGTAGAAATATGTTTTGCATGACTACACACATATAAACTATATAAAATTATAAACTGCTTGCCTTCTCAGAAGGTGGGGAGGAGAGAGAAATAATTTGGAATTCAAAATTTAAAAAAACCCCAAATGTTAAGAAATGTTTTTACATTTAATTAGAAAATATAAAATTTTTAAAAATGTTTTCTGTGTCTGCCTATCTACTATCTATCTATCTATCTATCTATCTATCTATCTATCTATCTATCTATCTATTTATCTCAAAACAAGTGACAGTCCAACTATGCTCTGGACAGATGATACACAACATGCTGTACGATGAAGAACTGTGAATAATTTAGCTATTCTCAGCAATACAATGATCCAAGGCAGTTCCAAAGGACTTATGATGAAAAATACTATCCATTTCCAGAGAAAGAGCTGCTGGAGTCTGAATGCAGACTGAAGCATAATTTTTCTCATACTTTTCCTTGCCTTTTTTTTTTAACAAAATGGCTAATATGGAAATATGCTTTGTATATTCAATTTCACATACATAACTGATATTTCATTTCTTGCCTTCATAATGGGTGGGGAAGGGATGTTGAACTCAGACTTTTAAAAAAAATTGAATGTTAAAAACAAATAATAAAAATTAACAGAGACTGCTTAGTTCACAATAAAAAAAGAAAATTTAATGAAAAAAGAATGTTTCTGAAAGTAGGATAAGATATCAGTATATGTATAAGTTTTAAAGGACGTAATTTTGCTACCAATAACTCACACTTAATAGATTCATGTCTTGAAAGACATCAAATGATGCTTGCTCTTAAGAGATTTAGACTAAATAAATTGGAACTACTTAAAAAAATATCCTGTCAAACGAATACCTTTGAAGAGCCACCTTTACCTACAGGATAATGGTGGATTTTAAAAATAGATATATTTTGGTGACATAGACCTAAAATGACATTTGTTTATCCAGTATTTTAAAGCTACTTCTGAGGAGGAATGGCAGTGGCTTAATATGCCAAAAAAAACCCAAGATCTAGTAGTTTCGCATAAAGAGCTACCTGCCCTAGGTTCTGTCCCAGATCTTGCATTTATTAGCTTAGCTAATGTGATAGCTTAGTAGGGGCAGCTAGGTGGTGCAGTGGATAGAGTGCCAGGCCTAGAGTCAGGAAGATTCATCTTTCTGAGTTCTAATCTGGCCTCAGATACTCACTAGCTGGCTGTGTGACCCTGGGCAAGTCACTTAACCCTGTTTGCCTCAGTTTCCTCATCTGTCAAATAAGCTGGAGAAGGAAATAGAAAACCATTCCAGTATCTTTGCCAAGAAAACCCCAAATGGGGTCACAAAGAGTCACACACAACTGAAATGACTGAACAACGAATAGCTGTGTGACACTGAAGAAGTCACTTCATCTCTCTGTGTGCCTCAGTTTCATTAGGAGGAGTTGGCAAAATGATCTCTAAAGAGTCCTTCCAGCTATTAAATTCTATGTTTCTATTCTGAAGGGAGGTAGAATACTATGGTTAAGTAAAACACATAAGAGAGTTTTAGAAGAATGTGACCCATTAAAAGAGCACTAGAAGAAGGAATGTTTTGATTTAGCTTGTGCTCTTTCTAGGTTAGTTACTTATATTTTACCCATCACCTGCAGTGAAAGACATAGTTTCAGCATTCAACAGAAGCTTTGCCAGAGGATGGGGAAGACAATGAAACCTAACATTCTTGAGAGAGAACTAAATTCATGTACAGCAATTTTGCTGCTGAGGCTCTGGTTTACTCTTAGACTCATTCTCTAATGTGTTATTTCAGATTATTAAGATAATTGATAACAGTATTGAAAACCATCAATACTCCAGTGTCAGTGATGCTTGCTACCTTTACCTCTATAAAGCCCTTTGCTGTCTTGATAAATTAATGATCCAGCTGGAAGTGGATCTGACTGACCAACTTAAACATTTATGACAAGAGCATAAAAAAAAATCACAAATAGTAAAATGAGACTGTGAACAGAAATCAACACCAATCCTCACCGCGTTTCTGAAGAAGTTCCTGGAGATCTGGTTTTGAGGCAGTGTCAACAATATTCTCCCCATCCAAGTCTGTCTCAGTCTCCTCTTCTGTGGTAGAAGAGCCCACTGAGAGAACGTGGAGTTTGGTTCTCAAATCTTGAGCCTCTGGTTTCATGAAGGCAGCTGGGCCATCAATTCCTAGGGGAAATAAAAGGAAAGGGAACAGAACAAAGGGCTATCTGTTGTTCACCTGAATACCCTGACATATTTGGTCAGAGTTAAAGGCTGTTTAATTGGATCATTTCTCCTTCTCCCTCCCCTGACATCCCCAAGTCCTTCATGATGTATTTATTGAGGAAGTATTCCAGGATCAATATTCACAGCAGGTACATATTAAAAGGCAGTGTGGCAAGGCTAACTTATTTAGAAGCTAGGAAGACTGGGGTTCCAGTCTTACTTCTGATACATCCTGGCTGTGTGACTCTGGGCACACAATATCCTCTAAAATCAAATCTATGAACAAGAGAAATGTTGAAAGGATTACTAGTACTGTCCCTTTTGCCCACCTGTTTTCCCAGAAAATTTGCTGGCCTACCTTGGTAAGAAAGAATGCTAGCTAGGTACATACCATGCAAGACCACATCACTGCAAAGATGAGTGTGAGGCTCTACCAAAGGGGTCTGCTCTTCACAAACTTTTGGCTTTGACCGGCGAAGCCTGGCTTCTGGGTTTGGCTGCACCATGAGGGGCTCAAGACGCTTCTTCCTTTGCTTCTTTTCCAGCAAAGCTCGCTATGATATAATTATGATGATGAGAACCACAGCTGCCATTTAGCATAACAGTAATAACAACAGAATCTTGGATTCATCATTTTAATAAACTTGAGACTTTGAAAGTATCTTTCAGTGATCCCCACAACCCTATGAGGTAATAAAGGAAGAGCTTATTCTCCCTGTTTATAATCTGGGGAAACTGTGGTACAGACGGGCACGTAATTGTCTAAAATCACACCCTTCATTACTGGTAGAACTAAGACCATTATTCAGGTAAAATTAAAAACAGACAATGGGCAGCTAGGTGGTGCAGTAGATTACAGTGCCAGCCCTGGAGTCAGGAAGACTTATCTTTCTGTGTTCAAATTTCAGACACTCACTAGTGTGTGACCTTGGGTAAGTCACCTAACCCTATTTACCTCATCTATCAAAGGAGCTGGAGAAGGAAATGGCAAACCACTTCAGTATCTTTGCCAAGAAAAGCCCAAATAGGGTCATGAATAGTCAGACATGACTGAAAATAACTGAACAACAACAAAAAAACCCCATATAAATTAAAACAACTTTTTGGGTAAATAGTTCATATCCAACAAATTAGCAAAAACAACTGAAAGTGAGAAAATGCAATGCTATCTGGGTTGTGGAAGAATAGATAAACTGACAGATAAGTGCAAATGGACAAAATCTTTTTGAAGAATAATCTGGAAGCCGAGTTAAAAAAATAATCATATTCTTTCACTTAATAATCTCATTATGGAGAACTTTTTAAAATAGCCATCTGTTCAAAGATATTTATTTACTGTAATGATAAGTAACTGAAAATGTGTAACAGAGGATAACTAAATAAACTATGAGAAATTAATGTCAGAGAATATTACAATGAACTTAAAATGACTGAAAAGTATGGAAAGACATGAAATAATTTTAAGTAAAAAAAAGCAGAACCAAAATAGCAGCATAAATATTGGTAATTAAATATACAAATAACACTGGTGAAACAGACAAACCAAGAGAACAGAAGGCATACACAAAAGCTATTATTACATATTTGCTTACAAAGGAAAAAAAAATCTGTGGAATTGCTTTCAAACATTTATATGAAAGGACAGGGTTGATACATGCTAAGACTGACTATAGTCAAGTCACTTCACTTTTATGCCTCGGTTTCCTTATATGTAAAATGGAAATGGTAATACTTGTACACTTACCTTAGAGTTCTTCTGAGCAAAGAAAGGCTTTGTGAATCTTAAAGTGCAATATAAGTGTGAGCTGCTGTCATGCTGAAAGTCATTTTTAAATGGAAGTTATCATAAATGAAAAATTGTTTTCATTTAAAGTTTTGTTAAAACCCTTCAACATAAATTGTAAAGAAAAAAAAGACATAAGCAGTAAAAGCTGAGTACTATATAAATTGGTATTGTGGAGATATATCCCTCCCTTTAAACTTAACTACACTGTAATAAAAGTCTGATTAAACAGCCTTCACACATATCCGTTACTATGAGTTTAAAAAGTTATTCAATTACTTGCATTTGTAAATAAAGTGTGACACATGTATCTTAAAAAGAGTAAATTCACAATTAAATAACAGGGTCCTAACTCCCTAGCTAATTCATTGAACTTAAAGATCCAATCTGAAGTGATTTTGGGGTTTGGATTTCTCACTAAAAGATAATTAGGTTTACTTTTTTCAAAAAAATTTTTTTAATTTATTTATTTTGCTTTTTGGTGAGGCGATTGGGGTTAAGTAACTTGTCCAGGGTCACACAGCTAGTAAGTGTCAAGTGTCTGAGGCCGAATTTGAACTCAGGTCCTCCTGATTCCAAGGCCGGAGCTCTATCCACTGTGCCACCTCACTGCCCTTAGGTACAGAAATGAATCAGAGAGATACAAAGGACAGAGGAAAATAGCAGAACAGGGTAAGAATCTAAGGAACTCGAGAATTCCCATGGGAAGCTATCAGCAATCTGAAAAGTAAACAAAGAGCAGAGGTAAGATGGAAATAGTACTAAAGAACAGTAAAAATGTGAGAGACTATAAGGGGAAAAAAGGGAAAACCTCATGATACTGACAATTTTAAACTCTTAGCATGTAAACAGTTAAATAATCTCCAATGCTTGAATCAACTGTCAAGTCTCAAGTTAAAAAATAAGAGAAGCTAAGGCTGTTAAACAAGAGTTCTAAGTGGAAATTGCCCACGAAGCAAAAGAATAAGCATTCACTTTGCCTCTTTTCATCAGCACTGCTTCAGAAAAGTGTTGGCAGGGAAGAAGAATCAATGGATGGGAAGGGAATAGGCTGCTAAAATAACACTGTATTTTCCCTCCAGTGATCTGTGAAGGCAACCAAATATTTCAGAAGGTATTGGGGAAACTAAGTTGTCTTTTTTTTTAAATCTAGTCTGTTTTGTATGGAAGAAAAAGGACTTAGATAACATGGTAACTTGGGCCATACCATTAGCAGTTAACAGTGGTTAGGGAGAAAGAAGAAATAATTACAACTAAGTTAATATGAGCTCATTTTGATTTAATGGAAGGGAAAGCCAAACGAGAGACAAACTGTAAACTATAAGCCAAGGTTACTACAATGTAGTGCTGAAATCTAACCTGTTACTACCCTGCCACACTGTAAACTATATATACAGTAATAGCAATCAGCTAGCAAATAACTGTCATGAGAAAGCAGTATTGTGATTCATTGTTCTAAATAACTTAGCTTCTTCATAAGGTCTAGGTTTTGAGATTCAATCTAATCCAGGAAACATTTATTAAGCAAAGCACTATGCTATATGGGTGATATATAAAAGTAACCCAATACACTCAAAAAGTTTATAATCAAATAAGAGCATAAAACATATAGACAATTAACTGTGCTATAAGAGAAAGTGAGACAAGTGCAAAGTATTTCAGGCATAATATTATGGGAAATTTAAGCCTGTCCTCAGGCTCACTAAGCTAAAGATAGTGCGGAAAGGCTTTCATGAAGGGAAGTAGTACCTGTGTTAAGCCTTACAGGCCAACATAGGGAGGCAGGGAGATGGGGGTGGGGTGGGGTGGGGGGAACAATCAATTCCAGAAATGTGGATAACATAAAGACACTGAGATGGCAAAAGACAGAGTAGGAATGGAGGGGGTGAGGGTAGGGTAAAGTAGTCCAATTTGGCTGGAACACTAATACACAAAGAGAAGTAGCATGAGATAAGTGTTGAAAGATGGATTGGAGTCAGGTTCTGGAAAGTCTTGAATACCAGGATCAAGATGACAAATGCTAAGTAAATTTGGGCATAACATTGACAACTGACACCTATTTATAGTTTCACCTTTCTCTTAAATGCTAAAAGTGCTCAAATAGAAGAAATGAGAGTGCAATAGCTCTTTGGAAGTCGGAGAGGAAACAAATTTGATTAAACTCTATTATATTGTGGTTTTATCCACTGCTAGATCATATTGCCTTCATGAATACACACACACACACACACACACACACACACACACACACACACACACACACACACACACACCCCCATATGGACCAGAAATTCAGCAACTTCAAGAAGTTCCTTATGATCTGAATGGCAACTTGAAGAATCCTACTCTCTCCCAAATCTGACAACATAGTTTACTCTTATACCCCTAGGGAGAAAGACTGAAAAGCAAAAGTTGTAATAAAGGACAAAAGAATGGATTAAATTATATGGTAACATAACTTTCCTTCATAGAGAATTAGGGACCTCCTCAGTTAACAAGAATAAAATTCAAGTGAGTTACCAGAAGCCCCAATTAATTACTATCTAGCTTTTCTGATGCTCATTTTTCTGAGTACTCTTCGAAGGCGTTAACACTGTCACCAGATAGGTTAGCTGTGATCTTTGTATACATCCAGTTAAAAGTACTAAAAGTTCTCTGACATATCCCCTGGGGTCCCAGGCAAAAAGTCAATCTGGTGTGCAAGTTCATTCCATCATCAGCCATTTGTCTGGGAAAAGTTTCTATACCTAGGAGGTACATTGATAATAGGAGGATGTGGATGGCTAACCCATTACCAAAACGGCTGTGATAATTTAAAGTTTTCTACCAACTAGCAGTAATATTCTATAACTAAGGTATCTCTGTGTTCCTAAGGAACTACATTCTGATTCTCAATTCTCTGATTGCCACACACTCCACTACATGCTGGGAATCCAAAACGAAGGGAAATACCACACACATATACTACATATATGTAAACATCTATGCACACACACACACACACACACATACACACACACACATATATACACACACACACACACACACATAATATTTTTCCAATTGGACTTATGATTTCAGCACTGTAGGGTGGTGATGATAAGGAACTTCCTTTAACAATGGACACTGACATCTTTCCTGCAAATTTATAGTTTTAGGGAGTTGCCTCAGGCATTGACAGAGATTAAGTGACTTGCCCAAGATCTCTCACACACATACATAGCCAGTATGTGGGACTAGAACTCAGGTCTTCCTGACTCAGAGAACAGGTTTTTATCCACCATGCCAAACTGTTTCTTGCAAAAAAAATACAAAAAAATAAAAACAATGAGGAAGTTGATTTAGTAATCTAGGTACAAAACCATAGGGCCTATATTAATATAATAGCAATGGGAGTGGAAAGGAAAGAATAAGACATATTTTGGGAAAAAAAATAAATGAAAGAGCTTGGTGATATATCAATCTGGAAGGAAAGAGATTGATTTGTATTTTGATTGAGAGACCAGGAAAATGGTGGTACCACTGATGGAGGAAACTTGCTGCAGGTATGGAGATAATGAGTTTAGAATGCATGAGATCACTGTGGGTCATTCAAATGGAAATGGCCAGTGTACATCTGAAGATACAAGATTAGAGCTAAAACAAGATCAAGACTGAAGATAAAGATTATCAAGGCACTGGCATTAAATGATAAAATTGGATAATAAAAAAATGGATAAACTTTCTGAAATAAGAGTTGAGGGAGAACATGCCCAACAGTATGGATTGAGACAGAGAAGATTGTGACACAGTCCCTACCCTCTAAGAACTTACATTTCTAATCAAACTTCATGATAAAACATGTCACTTTTCATAGACTTCCCAAACTTACTAAGTCAGAGATTAATACTGATTATATCATATTTATATCAAGAATGATAATAATAAATGTATCATATTTATATCGGGAATCCCGGTATTGAGAATCTTTCAACTGCTATGGTACAAGATAGTTTTTATTGTATATGCAGCACTAAAAATCTAAAATGTGATGCCTCTAAATAATATCACCAATCCAATTCAGTTTGTCAACAAGTCCAAATCAACAGATCTAATAAACGATATACCAGGTTCCTGAAGGAACTGGTGGATGCAACTGCCAATACACTGCTTGTGTGACACTTTCATGGGCTTCAGTTTCCTCATCTGTGCATTGAAGGGGTTAGATTAGATCACCTGAAAAGTCCATTCCAGCTCTCGATCTATGATCCCATCCAAAGTGTCTCCTTTGGTGACCTCATCAGCTCTCATCAGCTCCAGTCATCATTTCTTTGCAGACAACTTCCAAATCCATAAATTCAGCCCTAATCTCTTTCCTTAACTCCAATATAGCATCACCATATCTCTTGTATATACTACCAGTTATTTCCAACTCTATATGTTCAAAACTGAATTATCTTCCATTCTAAACAAACTCCTCCTCCAAACTTTCCTATTTCCACTGAAGGCATAACCATTCTTCCAGTTCATCCAATCCAGGATTCAAAACCATGGAGTCATCTTTGATTCACAGATCTGGAGCTGGAAGGGACTTCAGGGCTATCTAATCTAACTCTCTCTTTTTACAGATAAAGAACCTGAAGTCCAGAGAGGTGAAGGAAGTGTCAGGGGTGGGACTTAAAACCCTAGTCCTCTGACTCCAGAGCAGAGCCAACACTCCTTCCACCACTACACTAGTAGTTCTGGAGCAGAAAAGGACAGAGCCACAACATAGAGAAGCAAACCCTAATTTGGCCCTCATTAGCCAGAGAATATGGATAATTTACATACAGCTAATTCATATAGATGAGTCATATGGACTAGGTAGGGCCAGAGGAAAAGGGATTATCTATCAATGCTGAATTCTTTTCCTTCTTAGAGAAAGCTGAATGAAGGTAATACCTTTGGACTTGGATAAGTCCCTGGGGAGGAGATGAGCCCACCAGAAAAGGAAGGATTTACCTGCATCATTAATGAGGTTGAGATCTGTGTCCTTTCTGTTTTGAACATTTTTTGTTTAATTAAATAAAGGCTGACCTGTAGTCTCTGCATTATCAATCTGAATTCTTACATTAGAAGCAGAGGACACTTTTATTTTTCTGTAAAGATGTACACGAGCTATTTTCTGATGCTTCTACAGAAGCTGTCCCCAGGAATGAACCTGATCCATGTAAGCAGAGAACTGTATGTTTTATACCAACTCAAAAGACACCATTTAGTGAATAAACTTAAGTACCTATCCCTTCCTAGCCCTTGTTCCATTAAGTGATCAAGTAGAAAATCTATTTTGCTGAGGAAGAATTGAGACCATCAAAGACCACGATATTATTAGAAGGAGATCAGCACTAAAAAGTAGACTCTAGCTTACCTGATTATCCAATTTCAATTGCCGGAGCTTCATATTTTCATCTTCAAAGACTCTAAAAAAAAAAAAAGACAGAAAGAAAAAAACTTGTGAAAAATCTGGCTAGCTTCATCTCACACATGGACCTGCTCCTCTGAGTTGTCTCAAGGCAACTGATTTTGCTCAGGGAAGATCAGTTTCTTAGATGTTCTTCATACTATGTATGACCCGTCACCCTGCCCAACAGAGCCCACAGGTATTCTTCACAACATCTGTGCTCTACTCCTCCAGCCTGAAGCTACCATGAAAAGAAAGACTAGATCACAGACTTTCAGTCTATCAGGAATTATAGACCTATCATAAAGGGAAACTCTTCCTAAAAACAGCTTTTAAATTATATTACTTTTTAGAGATGGCTCTAGACTACCCCAACACATTAAGACGAGTTCTTGTTCCAGTGCTAACAATTATTTCTTTATGCCCAAGGACAGAACTTGTCTGTATTTTCCTGGGTCTGAGGTACTTACGCAATGCAGAGCTATCCTGGGAGTTAAAAATTTCAAGATCAACCCAGTGAGTTAAATTTTATGTCAATGTATACGTAATTAAGATTCAATAAACTCCACGGATTTAGATATGCAGTACTTTCTGGTTCTCCCATATCCTATTTTTTGTATTTTATTGTTTTTGTTTTTTTGTTTTTAGGCAATTGGGGTTAAGTGACTTGCCCAGGGTCACACAGCTAGTAAGTGTCAAGTGTTTGGTCTGAGGCTGGATTTGAACTCAGGTCCTCCTGACTCCAGAGCTGGTGATCTACTTACCATGACACCTAGCTGCCCCCAAAACAGACTATTTTCTTAACTAATCTTCTAGTTCGGTATCCCTATTTCACTGCCTCCAAGAAATCTGATATTGACATAAAGTGGTGAGATATCTTCGTGGACCTTGAGTCAGGAAGATATGAGCTCAAATTTAGACTCAAAACATACTAGCTGTTTGATTGTTGGCAAGTCATTTAATCTGTCTGCCTCAGTTTCCTCATCTCTGTGATAATAATAGCACCTACCATACTGGGTTGTCGTGAGGATAAAATAATACCTGTAAAGCTTTTTGTAAACCTTAAAGTGCTACGTGAATGCTAGCTATTATTTATTAGCAGTAGTAGTAGTATTAAAGCTGTCACATGGAAGAAGTTTAAACTATTTAACCCCAGAAGGCAGAAGTAGGAGCAATGGGTAGAAACTTTAAAGAAAGAAGCAAACTTAGACTTGATTTAAAGTAAAGCTTCCTAACAGACAGAGTTATCTAATCGTGTAATGGAACTGCTTCAGAAAATGGTGACTTCTTCCTCACTGGAGATCTTAAAGCAAAGGCTTGTTCAAGTATGGGTTAGACTATGTGGTCTCTCCGGTCCCTTTCCAACTTCCTTGGATTCTATGATTCTGTAACTATTAAGAGCATTGCAGGGATTCTGTAAAGCCTAGGTCACTACCTTTATCCTGGCATATGCCATGATGTAAGAAAGGTCAAGTTAGAAATGAAACAGACTCACCGCTACAGAGCAATAATTTCTACATTGTTACGTAAAGCACATCTAGGGTATTCCCTGAAAGAACAGTCATGGATATGTGTTTAATGCAATATTACTCCATCATCAACATATCCAACCTTTAATACTGTACCAGAGTTAAGGTACTTTCATGAAAAAAAAAAAGCATGCCCCAGAAGTGTGCCACAACCTTTGCCACAAAATAGAACTCCTCAAATATTTCTCTCAAGGTTTCTAAGGATGAAGAAATTACCACACAAACTAGATGTGTCTTGAATGCCACACCTAGACACCAATCAACCAAATAACTTTTTTCAAGATTGGGCAAGTTGAACATAACAGCCAAACAAACAGCATATAATCAAAGCACTTTGAGCTCACTAGTTACAAACACTAAATGTATGTTGTGCAATCATACCATCTGATTGCCTTTAACGTCTAAAAACGACATACTTTCATTAAGCGATCGAGGACAGTTTAAATTATAGCTTAGAAACAATAGCAAAGATAATTTGTATATTTACAGTCATAATTAACAAGGACTCTCTTTGAACTAGAAAAAAATCTTGCAGAATTTGTGGGATTTTTTTTCTCATTTTTGTCATACTAAAGATACTCAGTAATAAATCTAACTAACCTTGGTTAGTAAATAGAACAGGACAGAAAGGACTCCTGATTTGCAAAAAGAGTTTAACTATATGAAAGTCTCTTGACTTTAGTTTTCATGAAAAGGTGTGGGAATAAAACCTTCCAGATGCTCTAAATGAAAAAAAAAAAATTCAGGGGCTCATAAATCTTGGAGAAACAAGGCAAACCATCACTAAAGATGATGCCCATGTAATATGGCTCACTGCTCTCGTCACTGACCTCTGGGTCAAAGTCTGAGCTGAGACTGCTTGAACAAATTATCACTGCTGTAAACACCTTTCTAACTAAGATGTTTTAACATCTAACATTCTTACAGGAATTCTTCCCCAGCCCCTCTTAATTCTAGTGCCTTCTCTCATTAATTATTTCCTATTCATTTTATATATAGCTTGCTTTGAATATATTTGTTTGCATGTTGTATCTTCTTAGATTGTAAGCTCCTTGAGGGCAGGGATTGTCTTTTGCTCTTTTTGTATCCCCGATGCTTAGCACAGGCACTTAAAAATGTTTACTGACAGACTGATAATGTAAATATCAATAGATATAAACCATTTAAATAGAATCTCTTTAAGGCAGGGATCCTCAATAATTTTTAAGGGACTAAGGCCAAAAAGTTTTAGAACCGCTGTATTAATAGATCAGGATCATTTTCAATCTTCTTACATTTTTTTCCCCTATTATTTCATTTGTAATTTTGTTCTAATAATTCCAGCTGTCTCTTGGGGTTATTTTTTTTTGTCTATTCTAGTTTTCAGGGAGTCTATTTCTTGGCTAATGTTTACTACTTTTTCCTCTAAGTATTTTATTCTGCTTCCAGTCTTTTCCTTAAGAGACTTTACTTTTTTTTTTAATTAATTTTTTTTTTCGGTGAGGCAATTGGAGTTAAGTTACTTGCCTAGGGTCACACAGCTAGTAAGTATCATGTGTCTGAATTCACATTTGAACTCAGGTCCTCCTGACTCCAGGGCCAGTGCTCTATCCACTGAGCCACCTTGCTGCCCATACTTTCTTAAAAAAAAAAAAGCTTTTGCTTCATTTCTTCTAGGCATGTAATCCTTGTAGAAAAACTATTTTTTTGCAGTTTGTAAAGTTAAATTTGCAATGATTTTTGATACCAGATAGTGTTTTCTTGGATTTATTCACCTCTTCAGCTTTAGTTCCTGAATTAGGACTTTATGCCAAGTCAGCCTCTATCGCCAGCTGCTCTTTTGAGTAAGGTAGTTAGCTGCCTTTACTTGGTCTGCTCTGAGTCCCCTGGATTCTTATATCTCTACCTCCCAAGTTCAGCCCTTCTAGATCTTTAAGGTTCAGAGTGCTGGATCTTCAGGGTCCTCTCTGGTATGTCAGGATATAGTATTAGGGGCATCAGAGTCCCTGGGTCTGTGCTGTTTGGATCTGAGGGCTGGGGACATTACATTGCTTTGGTCTCTCCCAGATGCTGCCACTCCCCAATGTTTCCAAGCCTTCCACCATGCAACTTTTTCAGGGATTTCTCTACTTTTCCTGCCTTAGGACACAGAACCTTGAAGGTAACCCACGTTCCTTCTCTCTGGTCATACTGAGGCCCTGCACTGGTGCTGGCTTTGCTGATAGAAGCCTCAGTTGACTTTCTGTGCAGTTGTGAGGCAATCATCCCTTCCTGTCATTTTTAATTGGACTTCTTGATCATTATCTGGTCTGGTATGAACTTCAGGGTTTTCAATACATCAGTATGTGAGAGCTGGGCCGTTCAGGCTTTGGCTTCCCTAGCTTTAGTAATGAGCATAATACACACCAATCTTTAACCCAATCTAGAGTCCCTCAAATTTATTAAAAAAAAAAAAAGAGATAATTGAAGTGGCCAAATGAGAGCTTGCTAATACTAACATAGGCTAAATGTAGTCTAGAGTGGGCAGCATGGAATAGTGGATAGAGAGTTAGCCAAGAAACCAGGAAGACCTGGGTTCAAGTTTCACCTCTGACATATAGCAGCTATGTAATTCAGGGCAAGTCACTTAAATGGTCAGTGCTCTAGATCACAGAGTATCCAATATATATGCTGACTGCAAGAGCTCCCTGCCAGAATTAGATTAAAATGTAACTGAGAAATATTTAACAAAATAAATAGAAATACCATAAAACAAAGGTAATGTTAATATATGGTTTTCAAAATCACCATCTGATATTTACTAGAGTTTGTTGTCACTTCTATAGGAAACTCTCTAAGACTATAACCTACAGAGAAGGTGCTAACCTGCACTGGTAGAAAGAGTTTCAGGTCTAGTGCCTAACTTTTTCCTTAAGAATGGGCTAATCTCCTTAGTAACTGCGTAATTCTGACCAATGAATAGCATATTTGAATTTCCATGACTTTTGTTAAAATTTTGGAGTATAAGGTTCAGTTAATACTTGTACATACTAATTCTGGGTAGACTTTTACAATAAAACTAAAAACAGACCTCTTGTCTTTCAAATAAAAAGTTCTTAATAAATGTTTGTTCAATTTGTTATTTGTACTATATATAATTCAAGACTTTGCTAAAGGCTATTCCATGCTGTGGATCTTCTGTTAACCTTTACAAATCACTTACGGCATATTTCATAGTATTTTAGGAAATTAAAGAGAAGGAGCAGTGAAATATGGAACTAATGAAGAAAGAGAAATAATTTAATCAAGATCAAACAGCTGTGCTCATTTTAAAATTTAAGGTACCTGATTCCTAGTTCATAATCTACCCAACAAACCATGTTACCAAATGAAGCTAAAAGTTTCAAGATAACAACATACCAAAGACCATACCAGGCTCCTTCAGCTTACAATCAGTGTATTTATCTAACTGCCAATGACACAAAATTTTAAAAGTTGCTGAAGACCATATGTTTTTGCTACCTACATCATA